CGTGACTCTCCCCACTTCCGGAGCATTTTTCTCGTTTCCGATTCCGCGAAACGTGCCCTGGCGTTGGGCTACGTCAGGGCGACTATTCTTGCGCAACAGTAAAATCGCGAAACTCCCAGCCTAGTCCGGTCACTGCATTTAAGCGTGTAAGCACTTGGATAATGATGTGATGCCAGGAATTTGACGAGTACACAATTTTCGCACAGAAAAAAGTCAAGAATTCGCTCCAGACCTGCTACATAATCACATATTTCACTCAAATCGCTATACAAGTCGTTTCGGGAAGCTTAGATTTGAAGTGGATAGATTTTTTTATGAGCAGCGCTTTTTTCTTGATTTTACTAGGTTGTAGCGAAAGTTTACGGGCACTTGGCAGCTTTCTTAAAAGCTGTAACTTCGCGCGGATTGATTCTTTTTGAAAGCTGTAAATTTTGATGCAAAGCAATGTTGTCTATAGCCCTGCATTTTCTAATGCATCTTCAAAACTTCATTTCAGGCCATCAGGGTGCACAGAAGGAAAAAGGGCGATATGAAATGGTGCTTTCGACTAATTATTCTCTCTTCGTTAGCATGAGTCTCAACGAAAACAGGTCAGAATTACAGCGAGTTCAAGCAAGCTTGCGCAGGGCTTTTGCTGATTTCGAATGCTGGAGGCAACATTGAAAATGGTGATTTGAGAATGGGCCTGAATTGGAAGGTAGTTAGTGCAGACTCACCACCATAAGATGTTCCACCGCCGTCAACGTAGATATGAATATCATCTTGCCTTTTCTTACGTTCCAATTGGCCTATATCTGCTTGTGCCACGGCTGATATTGTCATTAGTGTCACTAGCATGGCCAAGAAGAGCATGTTTGCCATGTAGACAATCCTATAATGTTCATGTGAATAGAACCTAGCGGCGAGAAAAATTGAAGAGAATTAACAGCAAGAAAGCCTGCTCAGGACTATTTGACCTCGTTGCTAGCTACTTGCTCTTCTAAACCATGAAATACTGGTTTTTGAAATGTGGACCCTCAGTTTCAAAGAGACACTTTACCCATTTTTTGCTTCAAAGCGGTATTTGTCAAGCAAGTGACGCACGTGAGGCAGTGAACACACACTTAGCCAAAGTTTTAGAAAGGACTGCACTGAAAGATGATGCACACAGTACCATAGCAATGCTTTTTAGATCCTGTATATAACACTTCATTTAAGAGCAGAATAAGCTAGAGCCGTGAAGCAATATAAACATTTTATACGAACCATGTTGAGACACTCAACAAACATTTAAGATTGGCAAACACGGTAGGAGTTGCTCTTATGCACAGATTGTGTACCTAACACATCCAAGATATAACTTCGCTCGAGTCCGTACAAAGTCCACAAATCAGCTAACATTTTTTATTTACAAAACTTGATAGAACAGAAAGTCACGTTCCTTCATGTTTTTTCTCATGCTCCCACGACCAAAATTTAGTCGTGGTTTTTGTAAGTAACTTTGAAATTACCATTATAATTCAACAGCTACCTCTAAATACAGCAAGGCACCACAAGCAAAATAACTCCCGTATATTTGGAACTTACGACGTTTTTGCAAACGATGAAAAATCAGAATAGTATACACCAAGACTGTTTCACTTATGCTTGCTTTGCCAGGTACTGCATCTCAGCAATTCTCGTTCAAAATTTCGTTTTTTCTTCCTCTCCTCTAAGAAAGGCAGTCATAACGACGAAAGACTACCATTCTTGTAAATCTGAGAATTCCATGATTTCATCACTTCCGTGGAGCGTTTTCATATACTTCAGCAAGTTGGATTCAGATCTTTGAGACGAATCTTTTGTCACAGTGTGTCCTTGAGATAATATGCTAAACATGCAAGAAGGGTTGATACCACATAGTGCATAAGAAACGGGGTTCGCAACGGTGAAGATACGCGAACCGCTTGCCGCTCATGTATTATTGCTTTCGCTCCTTCGTCCGAATAGCCCAACGCTTATTGCAAGGTGTACAGGTCCCAGCAAGAAGGACAAATGGAACACGGTTTAATGAAACTTTCTCCTTGAAAAAATTTATGGAGACCTCATTTGAAAGCAGTAAAATGACAACCGATCAGAGAAAT